CGTCCCGGCCTCCCAAAGTGCTGGGATGACAGGCTGAGCCACCAAGCCCGGCCTAGCCAAGTATTTCATATGCTATTAAAATAAAACAACAGAGGTCGGGCATGATGGCTCAAGTCTCTAATCCCAGCACTTTGGGAGGCCGGGGTGAGAGGACTGCCTGAGCTCACGGGTTCAAGACCAGCCTAGGCAACTTGGCGAGACCTCATATACATTATAAATCAAAAAATTAGCTGGGCGTGATGGCTTATGCCTGTAGTTTCAGCTCCTTGAAAGACTGGGGGCAGAAGGATCACCTGAGCCCAGGAGGTCAAGGCTGCGCTGGCTGTGAGTGTGCCACTGCACTCCAGCCTGGGGGACACAATAAGACTCCAACTAAAAAAAAAAAAAGCCAGGCTCGGTGGCTCAGCCTATAATCCCACGCCTTTGGGAGGCTGAGGTGAGTGGATTGCCTGAGCCCGCGGGTTTGAGACCCGCCTGGGCAACTTGGCAAGACCTCATCTCTCCAATAAATCAAAAATCAGCCGGGCATGGTAGCACATGCCTGTAATTCCGGCGACTCGGAAGGCTGAGGCGGAAGGATCGCCGGAGCCCAGCAGGTCGAGGCTGCGGTGGCCGGGAGCGGCCACTGCACTCCAGTCTGGGCAACAGAGTGAGACTCCAACTCAAAAAAAAAAAAGCAACAGGCAGGGCACAGTGGTTCACGTCTGTAATCATAGCACTTTGGGAGGCTGGGGCAAGAGGACTGCCCGAGCCGAGGGGTTCAAGACCAGTCTGGGCAACTTGGCGAGACCTCGTCTTGATAATAAATCAAAAAAAGAAAAAAAATTCACCAGGTGTGGTGGTGCATGCCTGTATTTCCAGCTACTTGGAAGGTTGAGGCAGAAGGATCACCTGGGCTCAGCAGGTGGAGGCTATGGTAGCTGTGAGTGTGCCACTGTACTCCAGCCTGTGTGACAGAGTGAGACTCTGACTCAAAAAAAAAAAAATTATTGCCGGGCTTGGTGGCTCAGCCTGTACTCCTGCGCTTTGGGAGGCTGAGGTGAGTGGATTGCCTGAGCCTGCGGGTTCGAGACCTGCCTGGGGAACTTGGCGAGACCTCATCTCTACAATAAATAAAAAAAAAATTAGCTGGGTGTGGTAGCGTGCACCTGTCGTTCTAGCTCCTTAGAAGGATGAAGTGGAAGGATCGCCGGAGCCCGGCAGGTCGAGGCTGCGGTGGCCGGGAGCGGCCACTGCACTCCAGTCTGAGCGACAGAGTGAGACTCCAACTCAAAAAAAAAAAAAAAAAATTATAGATCAAATTCAAATTTTGATTCTTGTTGGATAAGCCATAAATATCCTAGAAACAAAGATAAATGTGTAGAGCTATTATTACATTAGCATTTCAAGTGAATAAGTGACTCTTTCTGACTAATGAGTTAATGGTCATTATTTAAGAGATTAGTCAATTAGCCTAATTTCTCAGACTAATGCTAAGTCAGAGTTGTTGTTAGAACAAGATGGAATGTTAGAAATAATTGCTATTGACTAAAAGGTATTTTGAGAAAGTAGCATTCAGAGAAAAACAAGGTGAAGATTCTCGTTGAGGAAGCAGAAAAAGAAAACGGCCTGGTTGGTGTGAGCTGAGCTGACACGGGTGGATGGATTAGCAGAATTCATTCTTTGCTGCCCAGGCATTTCTCCAGCTCCAATGCAGAGGCAGCGGATAGAAATCGGAGGTCTTTGCCCAGAGGAAAAGGTCCCCATCTGGAAAGGATTTGTCAGCTATTCCTTAAAGCTTTTTGATGGCGTTGCCAATATTTCCTCTACAGATGTGGGACAACCAGCTCAGCAATACCGGGCAGAGCTGTGCACAGACTTCGCTTGTCCAGAGCAGAAGAGCAGGGACAAACGGTACAGATGGACTGACAAAAGAATGTCCCAGGATTGCAGAGGCAGAGAAAGATTCTGGGCAGCTCAGAATGTAGTGCTTTTGGCCAAAGGTGAGGGGAAAACACTGCACGATTGTCATAGAATGTTACAAAACTTCTGCCAACAGACTTAATGTGAGTTCCTGAGCATAAAACTATGTAACACCAGAATCTTGAGAGTCTAGGTCAAACTTGGATGTGATGATTATGAAACCCAGTTATAGTTTATTTCTCTAAAAGCCCAGATCCGAGCCGGGCTCGGTGGCTCAGCCTGTAATCCCACGCCTTTGGGAGACTGAGGTGAGTGGATGGCCCGAGCCCGCGGGTTCGAGACCCGCCTGGGCAGCAAGACCTCATCTCTACAATAAATAAAAAAATCAGCC